TATTAAAAAAATTCATATCCTTTCTCTACATTTCGATAAAAGAAGAACATTACAAAACAATTCGTTTTCTTCAATATAGTTTGATTTATAGTCAACTGAAGAGAGTCGGCCATACGCAATTTTTCAAATTGCTCATATGTAATTAGCATGATGCTGCAATACTATTGTGTGGGCAAAAGACTTACGTTCGAGGTATCGTTTATGGATAAGAAATTAATCAGTCGATATTTTTCTCATGAAAATTTGGATTTTATTAAAGTCACAGATACATTAAAGTCTGTAATTTTTCAGAGTATAGATATAGCTGAAGAAGTATATGATTGTGAATGGTACAATCTACCCCCTGAGATCACAAAAAACCGCAACTTGAAACTTGAAACTTACTGCAGGCAAATTTTGTTGGTTCGTTATACTATTATACTCCCAAGTAAGTAAAAACGAATTTCAACACACATATGAGACAGAATTTTCAACAGAATTTTTCTACAAATATTCGAGTATGAATTATGATATCTCTAATTTAAATAGTTGTAATTTGTAATAGAATACAAAGTTTTACACAAGAGTTGTAATAAAATGACAAATGTCCGATTTTTTCGAATCATTTTAAAATTAAAGTACTTATAAACATGTATTGCAGCTTACGAAAGTACAACACTCACAAAGAATACTGTCATTCTGTATTATATAAAATATTTGAAAATTTTAGGAACGACGCAAAGGAACATAAATTTCATTATTAGATTGAAACCAGCGTGGAATATGTACATAGAGGAATTTATGCATTTAGTTTAAAAATTTAACAAGAATTAAAGATAGACTTGTTAATATGACAAATAAGATTTTTGAAATATATTTGAGATCTCTGTTGAAGTTGAGATAGCTTCGAGAAACGAAAAAACTCTGGTCCAAGCATTTCCCATCGAATCGCGAGGCGGTTGTAACAATCGCTAAAAAAATACAGAAACCTTCTAAAGAAACCTTGAAGATTTTTTATTAGCATGAAAAGATTACTCGGTAAATTCATAATATTATGATTGTAGGAAGCGGTTCGCCCACTTTTTCATGCTGGTAAGAAATCCTAATTGCTGTCATCCTCGATCGATGGTTAATACATTTTTTTGTAATCCGCGCCTGTTTTGTTCAGCGTTTCCGAAAGCGATTGACGTCAAATCATCCCCAATAATATTCAAATTTACGCTACGTAAATTTATCTGTGTAAGGGCAATCGAACGGACTGCACTTTAAATTTATTGGCTGCAACTTGTTAAGTCAAAGTCTTAAAACAAGATAATCAATCGAGAGATAGTCGTGAGATAGTTGTCAGAACGCATAGATAGTAAATCTACGCAGAAATACAGATCCACTTCTAATTTCGACTTTCACTTCTAAAATCAATCATTAATTAAACGTTCCATTTAACGCACGAAATTAAGTATAAGTGTAGACAATCCGTTTGAGTCGGACGCGACTCAACAATCACTATGAAATACATATTCGTATTAAATATCTAGCAATTTTTATGTTTCGTATTCAATTAATGTAATTTATCTTATCTCATTAGATAATTAATGAAATTTCAAAATTTTCCATATAATACACGTAATCTATTCATAAAAATCTCCTATAAATCGAAAAGAAATTTTTTCGTATATTTCAGATAGTGAAGATAACAGTGTCGTATACTTCTGTTCTAGGTACAGTAAGAAGTTAACTCATGCAACCTTGTAATTGAATACGATTCTTCAATTTTATAACTGCTCATAGCGTCGACAGAACAAATACTGTAGTAGAAACATTTTAGTATCTATTTCTAAATAGTAAACTACACTATGTAGAAATAAAGAAATAAAGTATCATGAAAAATTAAAAATATAACAAACCTATTAAATGTTAACAGGATTTGTCGCAAAATCTGGAAAATACATTTCTTTTCTTTTGCTTCTCGATATTTTCTCGCTTCATCGCAAAAATTTTAAACGTAGCAAAAACAGATTAAGAAAATTTATACGAATTACGTACGTATGAAATTTCGTGGGTGCAAAGAATGAGAATTCAGATTTCTCAAGTCAAAGAGAAATCAGTAACGTCATCATTCTTTTATTAATTTAATCACATCATTTTCCAATCACCGTTTCACGTTACTGAAAGAAAAAAATAGAGTATGTTAAATTGTAAAATAATAAAAAGTCAGTGACATTAATATCAATAAATAAAACTTCCAATATGTATAATAATTCAATAGATCAAACTTTCTATACATATAATAACGCAGAAGTATAACAATATGTGATACTTCTGCTATGCACAGTAAAAGATTGCCATAACATAAACTCCTGAAACTGCATATATACATCCTAACTGCAAAGTATGATACAAGAAAGTCTGATCGATCCATGTATTGTTAACTTATCAAGAGTGTTAACATCACAACATAACACAACACGTTGCAAGTATTAATATTACTACGTTACCACGCATTTAAAAACATTGCAAGAAGAATAATAAAATTTTACATTTTACATGAAACTATATATACAATATTTCATAATATATTTCGTATTTCAATTCAAACAGTACTACCTGTAATCCATAAACTAGAGGCGTTAAAACTCATAAAATTCTTAAGGCGAGATTAACATTCATGAACGACTATACTTTCAATTGGTAGTGAATTATTTTCTCCAAGAGTTGAAATTTCGTCCATCAGCAAACTTCGATGCACATTCATAAGAGAGGTAGCAAAGAAGTAAAAAGAAGCAAATGTCTCCTCCTCTCTCCCGCTTCAACGAGGGTATAAATAATTACAAACGAAAACTTCTGGCAACGAAACTTGGACTGCAACATTTAGTCCAAGCAGACAATTGAGAACGACATCGAACTACCCCATTCATGTATAATTGATGGCATTCGTGTTCTCTGAATGCACGAAACGGACATGCGCTGACAAGAACGTTGAAATAGTTTTTGAATGTAAGAACAGTCACGGGGAAACTGGCCATCATGGACATTCAACGAGGTAACTTCTCGCATGAAGTAATAAGTTCTCATAATGAGAAAGCGGTGTTTACACAATCTTTTGTTTCAAAATCGGAATCGTTAATGTAAAATAAAAGTGGAAGAAAAATAATCGAATTAAAAAAAGTTGTGTAAAATGTAAATGGAAAGAAAAATTAGTAAAGGAAATATATAAAATTATAAGGAATAAATAATTTATTGTGTCCTATAAATTGACATTTCGGTGGTTAATATTTTATATTAGAAGATTAGATGCTGAAAGTTACAATTCTTTACTTTCTGGCGTTAAATTTCTTATTACGAAAACTTGATATGATAACAATTTTCATTGTTTTAAATAGAACTTTCAAAGTGATTGTATTCTGTATAAGATCATCAGTTATTTCTTGAAATATTGAATTACCTTCAATCCCAAGTTACAGAGTTGCAGTGCCGTTACAGAGTCGAAAGTGACAGTAAACTTTTATTTTACAACTACATTAAATTAAAGAGATTTAATTTTATTTTGAACTTTTCATTTGCGCCGATAGAGTAAGATCTGTAATAAAGTAATAATTCTGAACCTAAGCTTCAATCATTCTCGATATCTAATCGAGTTGAACAATCAATTCAAGAAATACAGATTTAAAGTAAGAAGTCCAAATTATATTTTTTAACAACAGTATATGTACACAAAAAATCAATTAACGTACATTTTACTTCACGATGCAGTATTTTAAACCAGTTTAAATTTTAAATTTTAAATAAAATATGTGATATAAAATTGGTAGATAATATTCGAATAAAATCATATTATTAAATAGTAGAGATAACAAACAAAGGAAATGTCGTACATTACTACAGTCTATAATGATTTTTTTAAACATTTATCTGTATTAGATTTGAACTACCAGTTCGGTTGGAACCGTTACATAATGAAGTACATGGGTATCTGGCCGGAAGAGAGGAAATGGAACAAACCATCGAGCTACATCGTTCTGTTACCGTTTCTCTCACTGCTGTGTTTCGCGTGTGCTCCACAAACTATTAATCTACCGTTCATCGTACATGATCTGAATCTGGTGGCCGAGAATCTATCGAATAATACCACTTTCACACTTTCACTTATGAAGACTTTGGCTTTCTGGATGAATGGCAAACGTAAGAATCTCATCATATCATCATATAAATTATATTCAATTTCATCTGAACGTAGAATTTCATCAAAAGACTCTAAGAGATCACAGTGCGCTGCAGTTCTTTACATTTTCTAAACAAATTTAATTTTTACAAAAAAAATGCATGTAATTCTCAGACCTGAGCCTGTATTTTTAAATCCACTTGTATAATATTTATCCATGAACAACGTAATAAACAAACGAAATATATTTTTATACTAATAAGAGGAAAAATTTTCCCAAGGCATATTATATCCGCCATATATATCTTTGTTTCTTTATAAGCATTGAAGTCTCTGCTGACGTGCATTGCCAACGACTGGGCTACAGTGGAGACGAAAATCGGACGAGAAACGATGGTGAACATCGCGAGGATCACAAGAAAGATCATGATAGGATGTTCAATGATGTGCCAACTAGTGGTCCCCTTTTACGTGATTCTACGATTAATTTTCATAGAATACGACGATAACAAAATGTTCGTACGTGGCTATTATCCCTACGACACAACCGTAAGCCCAAATTATGAACTGACTATGATTAGCCAAGCCATAGCTGCTGCATACAGCGCCAGTGTATACTCATCTGTGGACACGTTTATCGCTATGCTGATTTTACATGCGTGTGGACAGATTTCGAATCTAAAGAATGATTTAAGAGAGATCCATTCTCACGATAAGATTGATTTACAGACGAAGTTGAAGAAAATCGTTCAGAAGCATAATTACATCAATAGGTTCGTATTGAAAGAAAATTATTAATATTTTCGAGAAGAATATTGTTAAAAAGAAGTCCGAAAGCTTTCGCCAAAGGTGGCAAAAAGATACCAAATGTTGATTATAATAAATTTAATCGTAAAAAGCTAAAAAATAATTTGCAAAATTTAAATCATTTTCGTACGTTGTTTATTTTATTTCATTTTAATTACAATAAGAAAAATAGGAGATAAATAATTGTTTCACGCCTACTAATTCAAATTTATTCTTTATTTGATATTAATTATTATGCAAAATTATCAGCACCAAGTAATTACTTTTTGCTTATTATTATTTAAACAATCTTTAATATGTAAATTCTAATATTTATTAATTATGTTATAAGGTTTGCTGAAACGGTAGAGGATTGTTTCAACATAATGCTCCTGATTCAAATGTTCGGTTGCACCGTTCTACTATGCTTCCAGGCTTTCCAAACAATCATGGTGCGAAAAAATTCATGTTTTTCTTTAAATTTACTTATGCAAAAGAAGAGCGTTACAAGACAATTCATCTTTTTCGACATAATTTAATTTATAGTCAGATGGAGGAAAGAATGAGCAGTACATGATTTTCCAAATTACATACATGTGTTATTACGTAGTTTGCACGATGATGCAAATGCTCCTGTACTGTTATGTGGGCGAAAGACTTACGTTCGAGGTATCGAAAGAGAAATTAATCAATTGATGATTTTTTTTGATAAAAATTTGGAGCTTAGTATTGATTTTGGATCTCGATACTAATTACTTGATAATAAAGTTTATTTGTTTACAACGTAAATATATATTAAAATTTGCTATCTTTCAGAGCACGGATATAGCAGAAACAGCATACCATTGCGAATGGTACAATTTATCACCTGAGGCCGCAAGATTGCTTCTTATTATTATGTGTCGAGCTAGAGCATCACCGTTAAAGATCACAGCAGGCAAATTTTGTTCGTTCACTATACTGTTATATTCCCAAGTAAGTAAAAACGAATTTCAATACAATTTTCAATATTTCAAAATTTTTTCCCTAGTCCTATGAAGGACGCGATCCGAAAAATTTGATTATAAATTCCAATTATGGAATGTATTTCATTTGAATGGAGAATGGTTTTAATTTGTAATATACTAGAAATTTTTACACAATAATTCTAATCGCATGAACAATTCAATTCCCTTCAAACATTTTAAAATTAAAGAATTCACAATCATGTTTTGTAGCTCGTGAAAGAATCCGCACACTCAGCAAAGATGAATTCGTATATACATATTGTTATTCTGTTTTATATAAAGTATTTGGAAATTTTATGATTATGTTGAAACCAGTATGAAAATATATAGAAGAATATACATATTTGTTATTTAAGTGTTGGTATACGCATTTAGTAAGATAGACTTATTAATATATAACGAATGTGATTCTTGAATTTTTTTTAAGATCTATATGAAATATACATTCGTATTAAATATCTAGTAATTTTCATATATGTTTTTATATTTGTCATCCTCCATCAATATTATCATTACATTGCATTAGAGAGTTAATGAAATTTCAAATTTTTTTTTATATAATACACGTAATATGTTCACAAAAATCTCCTACAAGTGTTCGAATAATTTCAAGGGAAATTTTTTCGTATATTTCAGATTGTGAAGACCTCAGTGTCATATGTTTCTGTTTTGTACGCAGTAAAAAGTTAATAAAAAGACAATCTTATAACTATGATCTACAATATTTTACAACTGCTCATCGACATTTTACACTGCTTCGATAAAACAATTATGACGGGAGAAACATTTTAATATCTATCATTAAATGGTAAATCATACCATTAAATAATTATACTTCGTAGAAATAAAAAAAAATAAAATGTTGTGAAGAATTTAAAATCGTGAGAAAATAATAACCTTATTAAATGTATGATTTCTCAGGAAATCTTGAACATATCATTTTTTTCT